AATAAATAAAAATAAATAAAATTGCTCAGTACCTTCCTTTTGGGGAAGTTCTATATTTCCTACTTATAAGATGGGAGACCGAGGGCCTGTTGTCAGGGAGTCAGGTGGTTAGGATAGGATATTTTGTTTTTGTTTTTTGGTCTTTTATTTGTAAGCATGCGTGTGAACTTCTCATGTTCAGTAATGTACTCAGTCATTTATTGTCACCTATTATGTGACAATCACCAGTAAGCTAATTCCCAAAGGGCAGCTCCCATTCTGAGACTGGGGTCTTTGCATCCAATAAAGAGTATGCCATGAGAGTGGGGGACAGCCATGGCCATTGGGGAATGTCATCAGGGTTCTGTTGCATAGTAACTGATGAGCCTCCAAAAATAAGGGCTGGGCCAGCAAAATGACAGAGACACTGAGGCAAGAGGAAACAGAAGTGAGCTGAATATTAAAACAAACCACCACCAAGATGTGACCGTTTCAGAAGTCTCAAGAACATACTCATGAACATAAGTGTCACACATCCAAGAAATTCATGGATAGCCAGTCTTTGCCCTCTAGGGATAATGAAAAGAGGAAACTTAATGCACAATTTGTGCAGGTATCTAATCGGAGTAATTCGGTATGTAATCATGCTTAACAAATATCCAACTGTGTATACAGAAATGGAACACTTCACTAGAAAATATTTCAGAGGTCCTAGATAATTTTGCTAGAATGTCCAAAATACATTTAGTCAAATACTAAAGGAACGTACTCATCCAAGCACAATTCTATGCCACTACTCCCATCTCTTGTTTCCTAGTGTGTGCTCTTCAGATGGTTGGTTCAAGAATATTATTTTTATGACACTGTAATAGTCATTTTTCCGTCTTACAGGTTTGTCAGGTCTTTCCTGTTAACTGAAAGATATCTTGGTAAACTAACAGGTCCCAGACCACCTGAATTCGTTTTAGCACACATTTTTGTATGTGGCAAGATGCCCAGAGTTCTATTTACTCAGTGTTTTTAAACTTAAAATTAAGAAAAGTAGTTTCATTGAGCCAGAGACAACTCCGTGAAAACCTTCATTCTACCTTAAGCCAATAATAACTGCAATTGAAGGGTTATTTGAGAAGCCTAAGGTAGTGAAATTACAAAGTCTTTGACTATATGAACTGTAAAATGTGCACTATAAGAGCATCTTGATGAATGTCAGATATTTGCAGATATACTCATTCGATCTGTTCTCTTTCACTGCCTATAGATTTGGGTCTTTATATTTTTTTTATGTGATTACCTGACAAGCTTTGGAAATTTTAGTTCAAGTATTAATCAGTAAAATTGTTCTCACATGCTAAATTCCTAATTCTATTCAGAACAGGTGTTATATTCCTTTTTTATTTTATTTTTTAAATTTATTTTATAAAGATTTTTATTTGAGAGAGAGTGAGTAAAGGAGAGAGAGAGAACATGACCAGGCGGAGGAGCAGAGGGAGAAGCAGACTCCCTGCTGAACAGGGAGCCCAGCACGGGGCTTGATCCCAAGACTCCAGGATCATGACCTGAGCCAAACGCAGGCATTTAACCAGCTGAGCCATCCAGGCACCCTATTCCTTTTTTATATACTTTGCTCTCTATGCTGTGTCTTAGCACATAACCCATAAGTTGAAGCCATTTTTATGCCAACACATGTAGATACCTGGAATAGAACGGAATTATTTACATGTGGTTATCTAAATGGTTAATTCCTGATAATTAGGAGTTAGGATTTGGTGTACTAGAAAACTTTAAATCAGTTTGGTTTATCCTGTTGGAAAGTGGGTAATCTAACTCAAAGGAAGATCTTACTCTCAACACCGTTCTGTGAATTGAGAGTCACAATTCAGAACAAAAGTGAACAGTGACTGTCATCTCCTATTTCACTTAGCTGAAAAACAGATACCAAGAAATAGGGAATAGTAAAATTGTACTTTTTTTTTCTTGTTAAATATATGTCATTTATTTTAAAACATCTTGTGTATTTAATCTGTGTGTTTATTCCGACACAGAACAACCAGGTTATCATCCGTCATAGTTGGCCATGGCCCCTCTGTCTTGGCCATCCCTTCGGTCCTGCCCCACCCATGTGATTCACCTAGGTGCCTCAAACTCAGACTGTTAGGGCTGCCCTCACACTTCATTTAAAAATCTCATCCTTTGCTTTAAATGCAAGAAATGAACAGAAAAAAAGAAACTAAAAGGAAAGAAACAGAAGAATTTAAGGCTTCTTACTATCCGGTGAGTCTTCATTATTTTATCTTAACATGATGAAATTTCATTCATCTTCTATCTACCTAAACAAATTATTAATTTATAAAATTTTGTTTTTAGGGAACTTCCTTGGTTTTTCTAATACTGGCAAGTATTTTTTTGTTTTCCCTACAGTTTAAGCTTTGCTTCTTTTAAATGAAAACTTTTCTTTCTGACCTGATGACCCCTTTTGGTCTTTTAGGTTTCTGGGACCTCTGTGTGTGACTTCCAGATTCTTGCAGAGAAATGAGGCATCAAGCCAGAAGCTCAGTTAGTTTTACAGCATCACCGTCAGGAACTTTTTTTTTTTTTAAGGACCTGACTGTGTGTGCTGTATGTCTCACTGTTTTAAGAGCTTTCTCTGACACCGAGGACAGTCATTGCCTGCCCTCAAGGAGATTGAAGTTTAAGTCAGACAACTTTGAAACCAACAGATAAAAGGAAACCCAGACAACAGAGCCAGTATTGAACAAGGATGGAGATGACTACTACAGGGATACAAAAAGCTTCAGGGGTTATCTGATCATTCTCACTTTAATGGACATGTCTTACCTTAGTATTGGGCATTAATAAGGTATTACAAGGTATTTTCCAATTAGTTTAGTCATGGCTCCCTCTACCCCCCGATAGTGAATTTACTTGCTTAAGAAAAAGGATAGTAAAAAAAAAAAAATCTGATGTTTTCGAGGTCCTGCTGTGTGCCATGAACTATGTGCTTGGTGCTGGACATTATGACTTGAATCAGAGTCCCGTATATATCAGTACCACTTCCTAGACCATTTTTAACTCCATTCCTTCTCTAGGGTTTTGTGTTATTTTTGTCACAGGTTTTCATTCTACAAATAATTAAAATCCTCTATGACATTATAGTTCCTGTTTTTTGAAGTCAGTATGTATTCAGAATTCCTAACACTACCTTCCTTCTTGTTCCTTTCTGTATTTCCTTTCTTGCGTCTGCTGGCATTCATTTCCTTCAGCTTGAAAAACTGCCTCTGATATTTCTTATAATACAGATCTGATGGTCACAGATTCTCCCAGTGTTTTGGTCTGAAAATGCCTTCAGTTCATCTTCCTTTCTGAAGGACCCTTTTTGTAGTTTATTGAATTCCAGGCTGGCAGTTACTTTCTTTTTGTACTTTAACAGTGTTGCATTATTGCTTCTGTCCTTTCTGGTGAAGAATCATCTGTGCAGCTAGTACTGTTCCCTTTTAAAGTAATAATGTCTGTTTCTTCTGGCTGCTTTTACAATTTTCACATTGTATTTTGCTTTCAGCAGTTTAATTATTCCCATCCAAAAGCGTAATTGTCTTTGTATTTATTCTGCTTGGTGTTCATATGACTTCTCGAATCTGTGCTGGAGCTTTCATCAATTTTAGCAAATTCTTAGCCCTTATGTCTCCAAATATGACTTCTGTCCCATTCTCTTTTCTCTCCTTCAGAGAGACTCCAACTATATATATTTTTGAGCTTTTCGCTACACCTCACATGTCTTTTAAGCTTCCTTCTATATTTCCCATCCTTTTTGTTGTACTTCAGTCTGAATGGTGTGCAGTGCCTGCTTCATGTGCAGTGGACCTCTGTTCATCTGTGCCCAGTTAGCTCTTCACCCCATGTATTCAGTTCTCAATTTCAGTTATTCTACATTTTAGTATAGATATCCCAATAGTAAAGTCTAGGTCTCTGTTAAAATTCTTCATCTTGTCATTGGTTTTCTTGAATATATGCATCCAGGTCTTTCAAAGTCTTTGCCTCCTAACTCAGTATATGCATCACTTATTTTTCTCTTGATATGCCTGGTAATTTTTTATGAATTCTGGGCATTGCATATAAAAACTCACAGAGGCTCTGGAGGAGGTTTTCTTCCTCCAGAGAAGGATTGGTTTTGGCAAGGGGCAAATCACTTTCATCCAATTAGGGATAGAGCTGTTTTGCTGCTGAGTTTCAGTGTCTATAAAAGCATTGTCTATTTCTACTTCATCATTATTTTTATAGCATAAACCTTCAAGGGTCCCATTTGAACATCTTTTTATCTTTAGGAGACTCTGAACTCCAGTTTCTATCTTCCCAGTGCCATGAAAGTGTCAGGAGTCCTGCTTGGCTTCTTAGCTTTGCAGCCACCACCTTTTGCTTGATGTCTCAGCCTTTTCTTTTGCACTGAATTGGCAAATGCCTCAAGAGGAAAAGTGGTATTGAAACTCAGGTTTACATTTACCTTCTCTCTGGAATCTCAGCCATTCAGGTGCTTGCTTTGGTAGTTGCCCTCTGATGACTTCAGCAGATTTAAAATAAAACTTTCTCCATCCTTTGTAGTTGTCCTTGGCAGGAGAGTTCTTCTGATACAAACTAATCAGTCATAGCTAGAAACCAGCAATTTAATTTTTAGAAGTTATTTCCAACAAATCATGGTAGCCATATAGATACCCCTGACCAGAGAGAATTCTGGTTTTGGGAAATCGGAATCCTTATTATTCTCTAACTCAATAATTGCTACCTAACGTAATTTCCTTGACTGTAAGACAGTTGAGTAGGAAAGAATAGACACTGGTCTCTAGCTGGTCACATGGGAAGTGCTCTTTCTTATCAGCCACACATCTACTACCCATTTCACAGGTGAGTGCTGACAGTGTCTTTTATATCTTATTATATAACACTGCATCACACTGTAACTATTTGTTTACTCGTCCCATCTCCTCTGCTTGACTGGAAGCTGGAAATATGCTGTATTTACCTTTATATTTTTAGTGTCTACCACAGTGTCTGACATTTAGAAGTTGTTCAGCAGATGCTTTTAGAATAAAAGGTTCTTGTAGGTAAGGTTATTTATATAAATGGATAGTATCCATTAAATTTTCATTAGTAGTGTCTGAATTCAGAAAGGTGGGGTTTTTGTGGGGTTTTTGTTTTGTTTTTTTGTTTTGTTTTCTTTTGTTTTTGCCTCTGACCATGCCCCACATTTTGGGTAAATACCTTACCTAGAGTCTGTATTTGATCCCCATGAACTGAAAACATTCAGGGAGATTCTCATGTTCCCTGGGTGTTGGGACAGTGGAATAGACCTGACAAAATCCAAGAAGGAAAGAACCCAATAACACAGACATTATTAAAAGGCTGTCAGGAGATTAGTGCTCACCTTTGCCAGCATCCCAGGAAAGTTTTTAAAATTTAGAATAGAATAAAATGTAGCATGGGACAAATAAGGAATGCCATACTCTCCTGGAATCATGATCTATCTAGCCCAAAGCTCTGATTCTGCCTCCAGCAAACTTCCTTCTATACTAGTGCTTCCTTCATTTTTTATTGGCTTAAGACATGCATGGAAACAGTTGGGTTTTGTTTGAATCAGGTATATATTTCTTCTATATTATTAAAACTTAAAATATAGTCCTATTAAATAATCTGTTACTCAAACTATTCTGTACAAATGAATACCTCACATACTTTGCTTTCATTTCAGGTGACAAGTATCTGAATTCCACTAAATGTATAGTAAGTATATTTCTCTATTTGAAATTAATATTGGACTTACTTAAATTAAGGATCTGGTTTACTGACAGATATCTTACTCTCTTTCAGGTTCAAATCTTTCTTCCTGTCTAGCATTTGGTATTTCCAATAACTTGAACCAACAGAGATGCTAGTAACATTTGCATGGATTCCTTTTACTGATTTTCATATGCCCCAGAAATGTACCATTCCATGTTAAAAAGGTGGAAATCCAAAGAATTCTTACCTTTATTCCCTAACATTGCCTAGCTACATCATACTACCAGTCAGTGCTATGTGTTTCCTACCTAACATACCTAAATCAAAACCAAATGAAATGTCTTCGTGAGACTCTTCTTAAAATTATGGAAATAAAAAATGTATTTCTGTAATTCCAGCTTCTGTTAATGATGGAATAGCTCAGTCATCCAAGGGTAATAATGATGAAATCTGGACCATTTGGAAGTATTGGAGAATAACCAGAAGCAGGCAGAAACTGAATAAATCTAAACTTGAAAGACAATGTCTGACATTTGTTCATGGATTTTTGCTGGAGGGCATTCTCCAGTCTTGGGTCAAGGACACAAACAGAAGGATGGAGTCAAGACCAACAGAACAACCAGAAAATTAGAGGGGAAGGAAAAAAAAACAGTAAAAAAAAAAAAATACTGTATGTGTGAAGAAATAGGAAAATGTGATACTTAGGGAAAAAATGCCAATAGAAACAGACCCTGAGGTGACACAGCTATCACAATTAGCAAGCAGTAACTTAAGGCAGCTATTATAAATATGTTCAAGAACCTAAAGGAAGATAAACACACAATGAATTCACATATGAGGAATTGCAGCAGAGAAATAGAAACTATAAAAGGACCAAATGGAAATTCCAAAGCTGAAAAGTACAATTAACTGGAATGAAGAATTTACTGAATGAGCTTAACAGCAGATCGAAGACAACAGAAGAAAGAATCAGGGAACTAGAAGATCAATAGAAATTATCCAGTCTGAAGAACAGAAAGAAAACACGTATCTTAGATGAGGGCAGGAAATAAAAGTAGAGCAGAATTGAAATGCTCAGTGCTAATAAATTCTAGCAACTAATTCTGCAAAGAAAAAAATTTAAAAATAAACAAAACCTGGATTTTGAATGTCTGATCCATGTAGTGTTTTTTCAAGGGTGAGAGGGAACGTATTATCTGATTTCAAAACAGTGAGTTTTTGTTGGCTTTCATGAGATTAGTCCTCTCATGTGGCCATAGGTTTCTTAGCTCTCTGTTCTCTTCTTCTTCCTTTCCTCCCCCATTCCTTCCAGTGGCCAATGGCCTTTTTCTTCTGTGTGCTCTCTTCAGGAACCAGTTAATTATGAAATGGAAGACGATTTCAGACATGGACCAAGGCAAAGGAAGCCTGTGAGATAGGTCCTCACATATGTTTTGTTTTGTTTTTTTTAAGATTTATTTATTTATTAAAGATGTTGGGGAGAGACAGGGGGAGAAGGAGAGTCTTAAGCAGACTCCGCACTCAGCATGGAGCCTGACTTGGGGCTTGATCTCACGACCCTGAGATCATGACCTGAGCTGAAACCAAGAGTCAGATTCTTAACCAATTGTGCCACCCAGGTACCCCACATTCAGTTTTATTCTTAAGTGGTGCATTCTTCTGCTGTATTCCATTTTAACTGTAATTTTTGAGTTCTTAATATTTCAAATCATAGTGAATCATTTCATTATTTTTAAGCACTAATCTTTCTTAAGAATCTGTGAATACAAAATACCAACTGGTATTTCAAAATAAGTGTATTTTAATTATTTTTTTAAGTGTATTTTAATTATTGATCCCTCTAGACACAGTTCTGTTTCTTTTGGTTGTATTTCGTAGGTGTTTCACCAAAACTAACAGCACTTTCAGTGGCAGCCCGCTTCCTGTGGTCCCAGTGGTAGCACCTTATCCTCAGGATGGTTTGGAAATGAAGCCCCTCAGTCACATGAAGATGCCCGCATGTCTGGCTTCCACAGTCCCCGACTGTGGCCAGTCACCTGAGGAGAGTTTCAAAGATGACACGGCACCGAGACCTGCTCAGCACACTTGCTGTCAGGACAGTAAGAATGAGATCAACTCTGAGTGCACAGAAGATACAGCACAGTTCAACAGAGGTACCGGGAGACATTATAAATCTTAAGTTTCTTGCTAGTCTTCAGTTAGCTAAGACCTATATGAGGGCAGTTACTTTCAGGGCGTTCTCTCTGTGATCAACTCACATATTTCTTAAATACCGGGTGGGAGGTATTGGGTACTTCGAAAAAATGACTATATAAGGAATTCTGTGAAATTCTGTTATTCACGTCCTTCATCTCAGGCTGTTAATCCATTTACATTTTGGAAAATAAATCCAAATGGGCTTTGATTTGGTTTGTGCCTGAACAGTAGACTTGCTGGAAGAATGTATTTTATGATCATGGGCCTTTTTTATCATTTGAGTTGCTTCTGGAGTTGTAGCCTTTCCTTAAAAGTGGTTATTTGTGAGATTTTTAGGGGTTTGCTTTAGCCCTCAGGTGAACTGTACAACTGTTCATGAGAGCCCAACCTTATTTTAAATCTTTGAAACCTACTGTCTTTCTCAAAGTCAAACTCAACGTAACTGGGCTCTACATTTACTCGTTATTCTTTCTTTATTGCTCAAAGTAATGTTGTGAGACTGTTTTGTCAAAATCTGCCTTTCTGATTTCATAATGCTCCCAAACCTTTGTGTTTTTCAGGAGACAGCTGTGTCCATTCAGAAACCGAGAACAAAATTTTAAGTTGGAATCCTCTTATTCTGCCCCTTGTGTCCAAGGACTGTACTGAAAAGACCACCTGGTCTCCTCCTGGCATTCCTTTAGACAGCCCTGCAGGGATCCTTCAGCAACCCCAAGAAACCTGAGGGTGTGCAAATGACCAGTCATGTTCCCACTTCAAGCCAGTAACTGCACAAAACAGGCCTGGGGATGGACTGTGTGAAGGACATGAACTCAAGTCAGAGAAAATCATTATTTATTTTTTGTAGTAGTAATGTCCTGTGAATGTATCTTAAAGTGTGTGCCCTTTTATATTATTTATGCCTTAAAATTTCCCTCTTCCTTCCTCCCCCTCAGTAGGAAACAACCTAATTTTGCGTAGTTTTCAATCATCTGAGAGCGGTGGGATCATTCCATGTTTCTGAGAACCTCAGTGGCCATAAGAGCTCCTCCTGCAAGGATCCAGCCTATTGGCCCATTTGGCTAAGAGGGAACTGAAGTTTTCAGATGGAAAGCTGTCCTTTGACGTATTGTGTTATCAGACTTTGTGAGAACATTGGAAGTCACGCTCAGTTGTAACCTAGTGTTTGTAATAGCAGGTGTCTTATGAATTGTATGAGTGCCTTCCAAAGAAGTGATAGGTGACTTGTTGACTCTCTGTCTGCACACGGGCACAAATGATGTTCGGTTTTCTAGGCACTAGTCACAGACGGTGTCATGAACATGGTTGAGGTTAAGGTCTGTGGGGTTATTGCCGTATGCAGATAGGGGACCATGGCTGGAGAGAAAAAGATAGCCCTCAGGTCCCACTGCATTAAAATTGGATTGGTTTATTAGATTGTCACTCTAGGGCTCTTTCTGACTGTTTCTAAGAGTGGGACAAAATGAATTTAAAGTGGCGACTTGGAAAGAAAGACCCACATTGTGCTCCTGGTGTCACGCCACCCGAAAATTATTATTTTTCAAGCTTCCAACATGGGCAACACTTGGAAGATGTGAGTGTCAGAAAAGATTTAATTTGGAGGGAAAGGGGTATGGTTTGAAATTTCCTGACTTTTTTTAGAATGTCGTCATTGTAAACACACACCTGAAGCTTTGGTTAGCAGAGCCCATAAATCACAGTTACGGCTCCTTCTGAGTGACAAGGACATTTGCAGCTGCCTTTGGAAGGCTTTTCTTCTCCACATCCAAAAAAAAAAAAAAAAACCCACGAGAAAACACTACTCCTATTTAATAGCTATTTTAATAGCTTAAGTCAAGCTTCAGTAGATCACTGCTTGTTTTTGGATTGTGCATCCCTTTGGGGAAAAAATTAGAAAATGATTCTCTTTATGTAGAGTCAGGCAGTTTCAGCATAAATGAAAAAAAAACAGTTTCCTGGAAACTGCAGTGAAATAGACTAGAATACTATGTTAATCAACTGTTTGTGTAAATGCATCAGTATCCCCTTATATATGCCTACGTATCTTATAAATAGAGCTGTTAGTGAAATACGCTGTTTGAGCTGGGTCACTATGCAAGAATGACTTTGAGTAGAATGTAGTGAGTATAATTTCAGGGTCAGGTGTTAGGGATGCTGTAGAATCAAGTTCTGCATTCCCAATGTCCATACTTAGAGTATACTGAATTTATTCTTCATGTGGTGTAGATGCAATTAGCTTTGGAGGGGGATAGCTGCATCCCTTACTTGTGTGACTAACAAAGGACAGAGTCCTCCTAGTGCACAGAATATGAAAACATACCCTGTGTTTTGCCAACCAAGATACAGCCATGCTGTCACAAAGGGGGTTTTAGAAAACTGGGGAGTAGATATTTGTGGGCAGTCATTTTGATTCAGGAAACAGAGGTGTACTAGCATGAGCCTTAGGTCATAAACTGCTTTTAAAGATTGAGTTTGACTATGGGATTTGTCCACTAGGAAGAGAAGACGACTTTATCTTTAGGGCAATCTCATTGTGGACTGCTTTTATTTATATTATTAGTAACGCTGTTTTAAGTGTTATCCCTTTTATTGTATTTTATTTATAAAAAATGCCTTTATATATTGAGACATATAAATATAAATATATGAATATATATATATAATTGCCTTACCGTTTAGGAGTTATGCATTCTCCCTAACCTTGAGTTGTTCGGAACTTGTATGACCTACACGGTCACCAACAGTCCTGCCTGGTGTCGCTTCCCCAGGAAGTCAGGACACAGCAGCATCTGCGGTGTGACCGCTATATACCAGGCTCCGTGCTCGGTGCTGCTCTCTGCTATCTCGTTAACCCTCCCAACAAATCTCCAACACGGTCCCCCCACCACAGAGCCTGCCTTTCAACCCGATTTACCCGGAGCCGTAATCTGGGCTCCTTCCAGTTTTCCAGACTGCTTTCCAAAAGCATGCGGTTCCCTCTTGCGATGGAACCAGCCCAGTCCCGCACGCTCTCGCCCTCCCCTGCCGCGTGGTTCCTCTGACCGTGACCCCGAAGCCCAGAAGGTACCCTCCGTCCCACGTGGGCAGAGCTCCGTGCTTATCACTTGGTCTTCCCAGAGTCCCCGTGTCTCCCAGTGAAAGCCCTCACCACCACCACCCCACGCCTGGGAACGGGATCGTCCCTGGGCTTAGTGAGCACGTCATTGGTCAGGCCTCTTCGTGTTCCTTCCCGTCTTAGAATTCTCTGTGGTTCTTTGTTTTAGCGTCAAACTCCGCCCCCGCTCCTGGTGTATCATTTCACTGTGTCCTTTTCCACTAGGTACCGATAGTCGGCTGATAGGTGCCGTACAGGATGTAAGTGAACTTGCAATGTTTAAACACCTTGTGAAGTGGTCTTTTACAAAAGCATTTCTTTCTGGGCTTTGTGTTTGTGCAGTGAGTCTGTGAAGACCAGTACATCTGTATTAGGCTGACCATGTCACAGAGAGCTCATTCCAGGTAGAGTACTGCCAGGAACTTGACCTCATGGCTGGATTCCACCTGTGTTGCTTTGTTTTTTTTAAAGTAATGGCTTTGAGATGCATGTTTTTGTATCCTATTGAAAAGTGTGTTTTATTTTCCTGAAAGTTGTAATGTTATGTTTGGAACTGTACATATTTTAAATGATGTAGCGTTGACAGGTTTTATCTGGTTGATATGACTTTATATTAAAAGAGAATGCTGCTTTCCTGTAGAGTAGCACGTGAAGATGGGGACCGTCAGATACTCCCTGTTTGTAGAAAGCTGCTTATAGCTTGTGGTCGGGGTAGGTGTATGTCTTCCTTGGAAATTCTTTGGAACCGCCATCCCCGTCCTCCCCTGAAAATCCCCATCGCACGAGCCACATGAGTTAATCCCTTCTGTTCTGACCGCAGAGATCCAGGCCCTGAAGGAACAGGATCTAGGCCAGCAAGTGTTTTATGGGGAGGCTGGGAGAATACCTGAGCCCAGGTGCCCACGCAGGCAGACCCCTCCTTGGGGGGGGGGGAGGGGGCGGACAACTCTATCTCTTTGGAAGGAAGAGAGGAGGGACGGAGAGCAGCCTGAGGAGCATGGGGAGGAGTGGGCCCTTCTGGCCTGCTGTCTATGTTTACCATTCACTTGGAGCAACATCTGTGTGAACTCCTGGGCAGACATTTAGCCTCCTCAAGAAAAGCAGCCCTAAAAAAAAAAAAAAAAAAAAAAAATCAAAGTGTCTTGGCTGCTTTGACCAGACAGCCAACAGGGTCTTCGGCATGGGGTGGGGCCTTGTTATATTTCATTCCCCATGTTGAACTAAGCCTCCCTTAAACCTTAGCTCCAGTCCTGAGCACCTTGAGAGAACTTGAAATCCCTTTTCTAATAAAGTCTGAATCTGTGAGAACCTGAGAAGCAATTTCCGTTTCTGTCCGTTTCCCGTCTCCTTTCAGGCACCACTCGTCCCTGGCAGGGTCGTCTTCTGGTTCTTGCTGCTACTTCTCCTCCGAGGCCCCTGCCGAGGCAGCTCGGAGTCCCGACTCTTCTAGTCGGTTGAACAAGCATTCATTTGTGTTTCACCCAGATTTCGGACACACACACACACACACACACACACACACACTGGAGCACACACACACACACATACACACACTGGAGCCCGTGAGTCATGCTGACAGCTCACAGAATACGACTCTGAAACACCCCCCATCCCCTGTCAGCCCCGGGCCTGGTGGCAAGCAGCAGCATCTGGAATACCTCTGATCCCTGCAGACTCGAGGATACGCCTCTACCAAAGCGAAAAGAGCCACAGGGACCCAGGGATGGGCACCTGACTCCACTGCCCCTCTGATGAAGCTGGTCCCATCACCGAAGCTTGTGTTCTTGGGGAAGAAATTTGAGATTTGGGAAATCAGGAACTAGAAGAACACATTTCTTGCTACCGTTGAATGAGGGGAGTGCGTACGCTGGGCTGAGCCTCTCCCTGTGGGAGCCACAGTTGAAATAGCCCTCTAGTAGTGACAGCATCGAGTAGGATTTATTCAGCAACTGCTCAGTTCACAGGCCTTGTGTGGAAGCGGCCAGCTTGCTCATAACGCACCAGGCGCTATGCCCAGAACCACCCTTCTCATGTGGCCTTGGACACCCAGCTCGTCTTTTCTCCACTTGAGGGTCTTCCTCATCCTTCCACCTCTCTCTTCCACAAGGTGGGCCGGGACTTCTCCTGTGATCAGGTCATTCAGAGGCACTGCAGCTGAGCCTGGTGCTCCTGTGAAGTCTGGGTATGGAGGGGGTAAAGGTAGCCGGTATCTTAGCCATCTCGGTTTTAAGACCAAGTGTGACACAGGGATCTTTCCAACTCCTACCTGTCTCCTCTGTGCATATCTGGGGCCCCCCTTGGGGCCTCACGGTGTTGCAGTCACAGTGATGGTGACATTACCTGGGACATCCGTGGCTGCTTGTGCAGGATCTGAACCTGGGGTGGTGGGTGGTGGTTCGATGCCTATAAAAAACAGACACAAGCAAAGGAGACAGACACCTTCGAGGTGTCCCAGATTGTTCTCAGGACCAGAGACTGAGCATCATGCATGAAACTCAGGACTGCTCTCCTTACGTATGAGTAATTACCTTTGGGATAAAATCATGCTCACCTGCTTGTGCCTCCAGGCCCTCCCTTGAATCCCTGTATTGGTGACTTTGCTCCCTGAGGGTGAAGTGGGAGAGTGCACCTCCCCGGCCTTCCTTTCCCCAACCCCCAGGATGACTGGGGTTCTACACTCACATGGGAACAAGCAACTGGCCGAGGCCTGTAGGAAGAAAAGGTGCAGTACTTGAGCAACCCAGCGTAGGTTGCGGGAAAATAACCCTCCCTTTCCCGACAGACGCTGTACTAGAGACCCCGGAACCCAGGGGGGTGGCCCCAGATGCCTAAGGTTGGGAGTTGGAACCCGGATGGACAGCTAGCACTGGGGAGAGGTCACAGTTAAGGAAGAGCCTAGATCCCTTGCCCCGGGGGGTCTGCATCTCTCCTTGGATAGGTCTAGACCTGGCCCCCTATGGAGTCAAGCAACCCTGCCCTTGAGCTTCCCACTCACAGGGGAAAGTGTCCGGTGCCGGGCAGGATACTGGAACACCAGTAGGAAGGCCACTGTTGCATGTGCCCACTGCACCCAGCACTGCTGGATGGACGCTGAACGGGGGTTCCACCAAGAGGGGAGAACGCTGCTTATGTGGTTTTGGAGCCACTACTGAGCTTGACAGCAAAGGCTTCGAGGGCAGCAAGCAGGCAATGCCCCGTGGTGGGCAATCAAGGGCAAGACCGGAGCCACAGAATCGGAGGTCAAGTCTCTCCCAAGGAAAGAGGGGCTCTGCATGCCTCGAGTCCCCAGCCGAGTCCCCCATTTCTGGCACAGAAGGCAGCAGGCCAGTTGTCTTGGCAGCTTGGGACTGAAGGGAAGGACGCCATGAAATACGGAGTTCCCAGGATGGAGAGAGAGCAGCGGGAAGCCGAGAGCCCACCTGTGCCCTGGGCAGTGAGATGAGGCACAGAGTTGGGCCCCTACTCTTACTTAATCACCAGCACCCTGTACCCCCCGCCCCCATCCCCATTTCTTCTGATTCAAGCTGAACTGTGGCTCCTGCCCCTAGGCCTGGGGCCTCCAGGGCCTCCCAGGGAGGGATGGGAAAGACAGCAGTGGAGAATGACCTGAGGGGAGGGTGGGGAAAAGGAAAGAGACTGATATGGAGGCATTTGGTGGGAAGGAGGCAAAGGAACGGAGTAAGGGATGCCCTGTGAGGAGGAAGATGAACCGGGCTTTGGGGTTCTGTTTTGTGGAGAAAGGGTGAGTCCCTCCACGGCGCTGGCCACAGCACCTGGTGTCTTCACCTCAGAGGGGTGTCCAGCCGTGTGGTGATTCAGAGCCGGGACGCGGAAGGCATAGCGGACACCCGGGTCCACGACCCCCAGCCTCCGGCCCCTGCTCCCAGGCTCCATGTCCCTGGCTGCTGTCTCCCAGGCCCCGGCTCCTGGGCTTGGGACGCTGGCCCCGGCTGCACCAGGAAGCCCGTCCGGTTCCCGGGGCCCTCGACGGCCCACCGCAGCTGCACCTGTCTCCGGTGCCTCCCGCAGGTCAGGCGGCGGATGGTGACGTTGGGAGGAGCCGGCTATCCTGGGGGAGGGGCGGGGACACACACAGGCGCGTGCAACCCCCCGCGCCCAACTTTGTTCCTGTTTCGTGGAGAGGCGACCCCTAGCGTGGCAACCACACCGGAGCGTGTAGACTCCATCAGTCCTGGGTCGTTCTGGTCTGTGCTACCCTGGTTTCCTCATCTATAAACTGAGCAAAAGATGATTCTGACAGCAAGGGGAACCGTTTGCCTGCATGCAAGGGTGCGGCGGAGTCACGTTCACATAAGCCCATCTGGGGCCATGCTTGGGAGGGCCTGTCGGGGCCTGCGGAGCTCACGTGTCCAAATTTTGAAGCAGAGGATTCCTGTGCCTTTCCCCCTAATTCAGGGCCACAGCTGGAGGTTGCCCCTGCCCCTCGCCACACAAACGCCCACTACCCCTGACTCACTCCGGAGCTCCAGCAGGACGCTTCGACTGCTGTTGCCCACGGCATTGCGGGCCACGCACCGGTAGGCGCCCCTGCGGCGCGCTGGGTCAGCATCCCGGATGCGAAGGTGGAGCTGGGCACCCTCAGGGTGCCGCATGAATCCGGGGGTGCCGGCTTCCACCTGCTGTTGCTGGGGTCCCGGCCACAGGAGCTGGGCAGGCGCCGTGCCTGCCAGGAGGGCGCAGCCCAGCCAGGCCTCCCCCTTCCAGCACGGACACCTGGGGCTGAGCCACTGCCAACCGTGGCCCTTCTGCGGGGACAGAGAGGGTAAGGCTGAAAGGGGTCCCCCGCGCCCGGGCTAGTGGGAAGGCTTGGGGGTGAGGCGCTGGCCAGCCATGGTGGGGAAGGGGAGGGGAAGAGAATGAGGAGACAGGGCCAGAGGAGTTGATAGTGAAGCTTGCCTTGGGCCAGTCTGCTGCCTCTTCCAGGCTCCCATTCTATGCCAGAATCCTACCACCGTCTGCTCCAAGATTCTCTGACAATAATGGTGTGCCCCCATGCCCCTCAGCTACCCCACTCCAGTCTCAGCTCCTGCAGGCCGGGCCCCTGCCTTACTCACCTCTGTATTAACTGCCTCCTTCCCAGCACCTGCCATGGGGCCTCCTTCTCCCTAATGGCCCACCTGTTCCTTGCCCCGGGCACAGGGCTGGGCCCAGAGCAGGTGCTTAGTTTTTATGGACTGAGTCCTAAAGACCCAGAGCTTCAGGTGTTAGTGAATCTCCTAGGATGGAATTTCCAGCCCCGAGACTGAGGGAGGGAAATATTCCCAGTGGAGGGCCTCCTGGGAGCCCCCGGAGACCAAGACGTGAATCATTTTGTGAGAATTGTTATATGTATTGTTATATGAACCTGCTCATTTGTGTGCTTTTCTCACATTTTTCACATCAATATTTAACTCTTTTTTTCTTGAGTTGGCAATAAAGAGGACTGGCGGGGCCAGATGAAGACAGAAAGAAAGCAGACCCAAAACACATAGAGGCAGTGAGAGAGGTAGAGACCTCTGGCGCCTGAAATATCTATCGATGCGAGGCAGGAATATAAGCAGGCACCTCTCATGCAAATTGATGCAAATGAGGGAGACAGAGTCCCCGGGCAGCCAGACGGGAGCTGTCCAACAGCGGGAGCCCCGGCCGCATGTGACTCGTAGTGTGGCCGGCCCACACTGCCTTGCGCTGTAGCAAATTACACCAGATTCTGAGGACAGTAGAATAGGATACCCCATTCATAATTTTTTATTATTATACATTGACGTAATAATATATTGGATGTATTGAGTTCAATAAAACATTTCTCTTGTTTTCTTTTTGCTTTTTCACATGTGGCTACTAGAAAGCTTAAAATTATATATATGGCTCACATTATATTTTTACTGCACAACACAGACCCAGACCAAACCCCCTGATTTTATGGATCAAAAAAACTTGAGTCCCCAGGAGATGAGATGACTCGGTCTCCTGACTCACTTTGCATTCCGGCACAGACAGCCCCCCGAACCCCTCTTCTTGGTTCCGAAGGGCTGCTCTCCTGCCTCCAGCCCAGAACCAAGCCACCAGCCCGACTCACCCGGCTGGAGCCGGCAGTGGGGGTCAGGGACCCTGAGCGGGTGAGTGCCCCGGCAGGTGAACTCTTGGCCAGCCAAGTCTTCCTGAGCCTGCAGGAGGTGGACAGCCTGGGAGCGGCTGCTGCTGTCCATCCAGCCAGCTCAGCAGGGCAGGGGGCTCGCCTCCCAGCCACTCACAGCTCAGCATGATGACCTGGTCTCCGACTGTGGCTGTGATCCAGCAGGTGGGGCTCCAG